TTTTGCTTTTTGTGGCTCCCTTTACTGGGTTTGGATGAGCCTGGGTGGGCCCACGTTAAACACCACTGTCAAGTCTTACTTTCCTGGGTAGATTTGCAAGCCCAGGAAAGGTTCAGCTATCCTCTAGCTGTTTGCCTGTAGTCTAGTAGCCTCAGTTACCCAGGGCCTTGGAATGTAGCCCTTGTGTTCTGCATAAGAGGATTTCCAGAGGGTGGGATAGATGCTGGTTGTTAATGAGCCTCAATTTACATTTCTTTGCCTTACCTGGAAAAAGCTGACTCTCTGAGGGAGGGGCTGCTGCTTTTCCCCTCAGCTCTGGGAAGAAGCAAACTGGCCACCGTCCTTTGTGGCTGCAACTCAGCAAAATCTCTGAGTGCCCTCAAAATCCTGGGTGTCCCCATACAGTTCCAGACCAGTCTGCCCACCATTTGCTGGAGCCCCAGGTGAGTGGCTGTGGCTATTTTAGCACTCTGTCCCTGCTCTGCGCTGTGGAGCGGGCTTGGGAGTTTAACCCCAGGGTGCTGCACACAGCTCAGAGTGCTGCTGTCCATGGGCTCCTAGCCTGCCACCCTCTCACGCCTCCGCAGATCCTACTGGTGTCCCTGGTTATATGGTCCACTGCTTTTCTGTTGCTTCTTTCTGAAGATTTGTCTTTATTTTAGTTGTAATTCCGGTTTGATCCTGGGAGATCGTCTGTGTAGCTTCCATTCACCCCGCTGCCATTTTACCATCCTCACCTAGGATAAACTTAATCAAGGAGGTAAAAGACCTGTTCACAGAAAACTACAGGATATTGAAAACAAAAATAGAGGAGGATATAAAAAAAGTGGAAACATATACCATGTTCATGGATTGGAAGAATCAACATCATTGAAATGTCCATAGTACCCAAAGCAATCAATAGATTCAATGCAATTCCTATTAAAGTACCAATGGTGTGTTTCACAGATCTCAAACAAATACTCCAAAAGTTTATATGGAACCAAGATCCTGAAGAGCCACAGCAATTTTGAAAAAAAGAACAAAGTGGGAGGAATCACAATACCAGATGTCAGTTTATACTACAAAGCCATTGTAATGAAAACAGCCTGGTACTTGCAAAACAACAGGCATATAGATCAGTTGAACAGAACAGAGAACCCAGAGATCGACCCAAGACATTATTCTCAACTAATATTTGACAAAGGTGGCAAGAGCATACAGTGGAGTAAAGACAGCCTCTTCAATAAATGGTGTTGGGAAAATTGGACAGCTACATGCAAAAAAATTAAGCTAGACCACCAACTTACACTATGCACAAGAATAATCTCAAAATGGATAAAAGACTTAAATGTGGCTAATGAATCCTTAAAAATCCTAGAAGAAAATGTAGGCAACAAAATTTCAGACATCACATGCAGCAGAATTTTCACTGATACATTGCCTAAGGCAAGAGAAACAAAGGAAAAAAATAATACATGGGACTACATCAAACTAAAAAGCTCTGTACAGCAAAAGAAACAAGCATCAAAATAGAAAGGGAAACCACTATGTGGGAGAGCATAGTTGCCAACAATATGTCAGATAAGGGGTTAATTTTCAAAATATATAGAGTACTCATACAACTCAACAAAAGGAAGACAAACAATCCAATTAAAAATGGGCAGGGGAACTAAATAGACACCTCTCCAAACAGGACATACAAATGGCCAAGAGACATATGAAGAAATGCTCAACATCACTAATCATCAGAGGGATGCAAATTAAAACAACAATGAGGTATCACCTCACACCTGTCAGAATGGCCGCCATGAAAAAATCATTAAGTGCTGGCAAGGGTGCGGTGAAAAGCGACTCTAGTACACTGCTGGTGGTACTGATGCAGCCACTATGGAAGACAATATGGTGTTTCCTCAAAAAATTAAAATTGAACCGCCATTTTACCCAGTGATCCCTCTTCTAGGAATATATCCTAAGAACTCTGAAACACAATCAGAAAGAATATATGTACTCCTATGTTCATAACAGCACTATTTACAATTGCTAAGATCTGGAAACAGCCCAAGTGTCCATCAATGGATGAGTGGATATAAAAGCTGTGGTAGCTCGGCCAGTGTGGCTCTGTGGTTGAATGTCAACCTATGCACCCAGAGGTCACCAGTTTGATTTCTGTTTAGCACACATGCCCAGGTTGTGGGCCTGCAAAAGGCAGCTGATCAATGTTCTCTCTCATTGGTGTTTCTATCTCTCTCTCCCTCTCCCTTCCTCTCTCTCTAAAATCAATAAAGAAAAATATTAAAAAAAAAAAAAAGCAGTGGTACATATACACAATGGAGTACTATGCAGTTGTAAGAAAGAAAGATCTCTTATCCTTTGAGAGGTCATGGAGGGACCTGGAGAGTATTATGCTAAGCAAAATCAGCCAGTCAAAGAAAGACAAGTATCACATAATCTTATTTGTGGAATATAATGAACAGAAGAACATGATGAGCAAAATAGACCCAGAGACATGTAAGTAGGGTTCACACTGACAAACTTCAGAAGAGGGGTTTGGGGAGGTAAGAGATAAATCAAAGAACTTAAGCATATAAGCATAATCGATGGACATAGACAACAATGCTGTAGGGGGTGGGGATGGGAATGGGAAGAGGGAGTCAATGGGGGGAAAAGGACATCTGTAACAAAAATGAAGGAAGGAAGGAAGGAAGGAAGGAAGGAAGGAAGGAAGGAAGGAAGGAAGGAAGGAAGGAGGGAAGGGAGGGAAGGGAGGGAAGGGAGGGAAGGAAGGGAAGGAAGGGAAGGAAGGGAAGGAAGGGAAGGAAGGAAGACTGCAACAGGCCCAGGCTGGAGGAAGGAAGGAAGGAAGGAAGGAAGGAAGGAAGGAAGGAAGGAAGGAAGGAAGGAAGGAAGGAAGGGAGGGAGGGAAGGAAGGAAGACTGCAACAGGCCCAGGCTGGCTGTCGCCAAAAGAGCCTTGGGTAATGCATGAGTTGGGTGGGGGTGGTCTCAGGGAGCTGTCAGGGTGGAGCTAATGGAGTTCACCAGGCTAGTGCAGATTCAGAGTTGGCTGTGAGGTGGGAGAGCTCAGTACAGGAAAGATTGTGCCTGCCTGCTGCTGGCTGTGTGGGAGGAGGGCTCAATAGATGGCCGATGGCAACTGTCCCTTCAGCCCTATAGCCCTGAAGCCATACAACTCAATTTCTTTCTATATGTCTGTGGAGTCCCTCTGCAGGAGCCCAGGGGGAGTGCCTGTGAGCGGTGAGTGTGTATGCCTCCTTTATGAGGATGGGTTTCCAGCAGCCTTCTATCTCACCCAGATGCATGGAATCCCCACTGATTTTTCACAGCCAGATGTTGTGGGGGCCCTCTTTCTGGGGAAGCCAGTGTGGGCTGGGACCCCTTGCTCCTCAGGGGGAACCTCTGTAGCTGTGATATCCCTCCCGATTTTCTTTCTTTTTTTTTATCCTCACCCGAGGGCATTTTTTGTTCAGATAGAGCGGGGAGGAAGAGAGAGAGAGAGACATCGACGTGAAAGGGACACATTGAGTGGCTGCCACCCGCACAACCCAACCAGGGCCGGGGACAAACTGCAAACTGCAACCGAAGTACATGCCCTTAGCGGGAACCAAACCCTGGTCTGTCTGGATTGCAGGCCGACGCTCTAACCGCTGAGCCAAACCGGCCAGGGCTCCCTCCCAGTTTTCAACCAACACACTTGGGTGTGGGGTCAGCCCGTTTTGCATCTCTACCTTTCCCACCAGTCTGCTTGTGGCTTCTTAATGTCCTAGTGATAGGACTTATGTTGAGCTAGTTTGCAGGTGGTTCTTTAAATTGATTATTCTGGATTTACCTGTAATTTTGATGTGGTCATAGGAGGAGGAGAGCACAGTGTTCACTACTCCACCAATTTGACTGGGACCTCTAGAATAAGTTGTATTAAAGTAAGTTTACTGACTTTACTTTCTTACATTAATGTCAGTAATAAAAGGTTTTAGGATTTCTGAAAAGGGAATGAGTTGCAATTTTATGGTGGAGGATCCAGCTCAGCTCCCAGTTATCCTGTGATGAGCAACCCTCACGTTAGTTCATTCCTCTCTTACCCAAGCCTACAGTAGCCCTTCAAATAGGTAAGGCAAGAGGTTTTGATTGGAATGTTTGCGAGAATGGGAACAACACTTTCTTGACTTCTACTAGAGTGCCCTCTTCTCTCTCTGGCCATGATGCTTAGAGTTCCTTTGGTTAAAAGCAAATGGTATGGGAAGTGTGGGCTGGTTTTGTGAATTTCATCACTAGGGTGAGTAGGAACAGGTGGATAATGCACACAAATGCTTTGGACTGGGCAGTGCTCTGGCCAGACTGTGGAGGAAGTTTGTCTTACTGGTGCTGTGAGAAAACTCACTTCACTAAGGCAAAAGATTTTTTATCTGTAGTCTGGAGGGTCTGTGGATCTAGACATTATTATCAAAATCCTATGTAAATGTGCGTTTGTTTTTTCCCCTTTGGGGATTAGTTTTCATCAGATCTGAAAGGGGACAGTGAACCCAGATAGTTAAGTCCCTCATCAGTAAGCAGTAAAGTCTACTAGGGTGGTGTGGGACCATGCAAAGAGCACTAGACCAGGAGTTTATAGCCCTGAGTTCTAATCCTGGTCCTGCCAGTGTCCTTGCAGGGTTTCTTTGGGTAAGTGTGTTTTCCTCAGTTTCCTAAGTCCTGGAATGCTGGCTGTTTTTAATGGTCATTGGTAAGATGGTCAGTGTTTATGGTCAATCCCAGCTGTATCTGTAATAAACCAGAGAAATTGAATTGTGAAGTTTGAGACATGGAGGCAGCTTATGTTATACAGACCTAGCCTTGCTTCCCTCTGTATTTTGAGAACTTAGTGTTTTGAGAACAAAGGAACCAAAGATGGTTAGAAAATTTTGCTCTTAAGACTTTTTTCTACATCTCTAATAAGGAAAGAGTTATAAGTTTGAGTTTAACTAAACCTCTACATTTCAGATATTAAATGTGTTCTTTTCATAGTCAGCAGATGCTCACTTGTTGACAGCAGAGGAGAGGAACCAAGTTATACTTGAGCTTAAAGCAGCAGGATGGTCGAAACTAACAGACAGAGATGCCATCTACAAAGAATTCTCCTTCAAAAATTTTAATCAGGTAATTGCATGTTCTTGCTTAGTACCATGGTCTGTTTTTGTTACCTTAGGCTATAACTCTTTCTTTGTTTGTTTCTTTCTTTTTTAGAGTAAACTTCAATTTATTATGAGAAAGTGTACACTACTGCAGATATAACTTCATCAGTAATAATGAACCATTCATTGGACACTTACCATTAAGCCCATTTTACAGATGAGGAAATTGAGACAAAGGGAAGCTAAATAGCTTGCCAAAGACACACACAGCCTATAAGCCTCAGCAGATTGGAATTCCAATCTGCAACTCCATTTTATTTTATTACTTAAAGAAAAAGATTTTATTTAGATATTAATTATCATTTCCCCCTTTATTCATTTATTTACTTATTTATTTATTTTCTTCTCTGAAACTCTCACTTTTTTTCTTTTCTGAAACTTTCTTTTTTAAATGTAACTCTTTCTAATACTACTGGTTATCTGATCCCATGTGGATCCAGGATCCAAATCCTCTTTGTTAGGAATTCAATGATAGTAACTCCATCCTCCACCCAACTGAGTGGGAGGTTCTTATTTAGTTCTAGGGGAAGAGGGTAGTTTGTGTCATTTGGGAAATCAAATTCTGAAATCACTGTGTCTTTGATTTGGTGTTGGTTAGGAGATTTAGTTTACTTTCAAGTTTTAAATAACATGATAAGAGAGTGTGAGTTTTTTATGTTTATCAGAAGAGGGCATGAGTAACAACAGTTGAGAAACACACACCAGCTTGACTGATTTCCCCTAATTTTCTTGGACGATTGTCAAATTTTCTTTCTTCCTCTAGTTATAGTTCTGTCTAAATCATTTCCCAGGCTGCACCCTCTTCTCTGATTGGCTCATTTCCCTCAAGCCCAATAGCCAGCCCTTGAAGCTTTTCTTAAAAGCTGATCTCCAGGTGGAGACTCAGCCTTAACAAGGTAACTGTTCCATCAGGGCGCCACCCTGCTTAGAGAGTCATCTCCCATGACTTACCCTTCAGTTCTTACTCCATTGCATTTATATAAGGTCACTGCTTTTGACTATTTCATGTTTGTTCAGTTAGTTTGGTAATCCTCTGGATAGATTTATTGTTTTTATTTATATTAGGTGTCAGCATCTTGAAGGCAGAGACCATGTTTGCTTAAATAACTCTCTTTTATACCTAACACAGTTCTGTGTACAAACAGGCATTGGATAAATGCAGACGTTGATTACAGTGCTTTCTCATTTCTGGAAGGGTGTGTGAGGACCAGATTTCCACTGAAGAAAGCTCTGACGTGTTTTCCTAGTAAATGCTATTGGCTCCACTGAGCTGCGTGCCCTGTTCTGCTCTCCATCCATCTGGCTGCCAGCCTTGTGCTTTGACTCTCCAACTCCTGAGGAAACCTGGACCAAGCTGACTCCCTGTCACTGGTGTCCCATGTGCTCAAAAGCTCTTGTCAGGGGCTTAGCACTCTGTGGCTGGTGGCAGGGAATCCCATTGGTACAGTAATCTTGTACATAAGCTCTAGGTAGCATTTTCCAAGCTTATTAAAATTCTTACATGTGTACAGCCTGACTTCTTTAAGCCAGGGCTAATTTATTGGCCTTGAACATGTGGCTTAAAGTACTTGAGTAGTGTTGCCTTAGGCTCTGCCCATGAGTCAGTCTTCCAGCCCTACTATCACCTTGTGTTGGGGTGACTTTCGGAAATGGGAGGGAAGGGAAGCTGTCCAGGGCATCCTTGATTAATTGTAACATTATTCACCAGGACATCTATTTAACTAGACATTTTTTTCTCCCTTCATCCAGCTTTTAGGAGAAAGAGGCAGATGACAAGAAAATCAGCCGACGTCAGGGGATGTATTCAGAGATACAGCACTGAGGTTATATCCTAGACTCATTTTTCCAGCCAGGCTCCTATGACTTCTGCATGTATGGTGGCCTGTCATGGCAGCTGATGTCCTGACTGCTGTCAGTGCCCACCAGCCAGAGACCACCAGGAACCTACCTTTAGATGAACAAGTTGGGCATATTGCTTGTCGAAGTGACGGAGAACACACCCCGAAGGGAACTGTGGGGCATCTCAGGAAGGTGGTGTTAGACACACTATAGGATTTGGGCTTGTGTTAGTGAGCTGGGAGAGTTTTTAAGGAATTAGGCTATGCTCTGAAGTGAATGCTGTCAGAAAATGGGCAATTCTGTAATTCAGTATTTTTTTTTCTTAAATTGAAGAAGTCCTTTTATAAAAAATTTTTTTAAGTATAGTTGATATACAATATTATCTTAGTTATATCCACTTTAGGTGTTCATATAATTCAGTATTTTAATAAATTTTACCTATAGAAGAAGAGACTAAAGTGGAAATTGGTAAAAAGCACTAGTCACCCATTAGCCAGGAAATGGGGCGGGTGCTTGGTATGTTGTTCATGGTTTGTCTGTATTCAGATATCACTATAGAATGGTCTTATTTTTGTCTTAATTTCCTAGAGTCAACCTGGTCACCTCAAATGCAGCACAGGATTTGATCAGGTAGAGGTAAAGATTGGTGATGACATGTGACCCAAGGTCCCCATCTGGGACTTCTGCAGTTTTCTCTGGTGCAGGGGTGGGGGGTGGGGTCTTCTGGGTCCTGCTGGCCTCTGGGAGAGGTGGGTGCAAATTCCAGAGTGGCATTGTCTAATGTTGATGTTTATGTTCAACACCAAGGCCTAGGTGTGACTGCCAGGCCAGCTCCTAGCAACACCAAGGCCATGTTGACCATCCCAGGTAGGCTCCCAGGTGTCAGGGCTGCTTTTCTGTTTCTCACAGGGATGTTTAGAGTGGTGACCCTCTGGCACTGACAGATCCTCACTCACCTTTCACTTAGGATAGAAAATACATTATCGTTATAAGACAATAACGTAAGACATTAAAATAGGTTGGTGTAAATAAAAAAATATTTTCCCATTGTAACTACTTTCATCTTTTTTACTAGTCTCTTCTAGCCTTTCTTCATAGGTCTGGTTATTTACAATGTGGCAATTGTACATGCAGTTAAATATTTAAAAATTAGTTTAATTTTTATTGTAATATTCATTAACTCAACAAATATTTATTAAGCATTTTCTCTGTGTCAGGCAGGCTCAGGTGTGTAGCTCCCATTTTAGTGGGGAAGATGGACAGTGGACAGATGAATAGATAACATGATTTCAGGTAGTGCTAAGTGCCATGAAGAAGAATATCATAGGCTTTTGGAACGGAGAGTGATGGAGGGGTGAGTGCACTATTTAAGATGGAGTGGTCTGGAAAGGCCCCTCTGGGGAGGGGATGTCTGAGGCCTGAATAATGTGAAGGAGCTCAGCATGTGAAGACCTAAAGAAAGCATTCCAGCAAGTATAGAAACAGGCATAATCTTGGCATGACTGCAGAAGAGCCAAAAGGCCAGGCAGTGTTCTTAAGTGGACAGAAAGGGGCACAAGACTGGTAGGGGATGAGGCTGAAGAGAGGGAGGGCTGTGAGCATTGAAGCCTTGTCAACATGGTAAGGAGTTTGGATTTTATTCTGTGAAGGAACACTATTGAATTTTCAGCTGAGAAGTCCTATGACTTGGTTTATGTTCTTAAAAGGTCACTCTGGCTGTTCTGCTGAGAATAGACAGTTGAAGGGCAAGAGTGGAAGCAGCCAGACTGTGTGGATTGCCATTGCTGTAGGCTAGGCAAGAGATGACGGGAGACTGTGGAGGTAACAGTGGTGTGGAGAGCAGTGTAGGATTCCTCATATATTTTGAAGATAGAACAATCAAGACTTCCTCTTAGGCCCTGGCCGCTTTGGCTCAGTGGTAGAGCATCAGCCTGCAGACCAGAGAGTCTCAGGTTCAATTCTGGTCAAGGGCATGTACCTCAGTTACAGTTTGGTCCCCAGCCCTGGTTGGGTCATGCGGGAGGCAACCAATCAGTGTTTCTCTCTCACATCAATGTTTTTTTTCTCTCTCTCTCTTTCTCCCTCCTACTCTGTCTGAAGATAAAAATGGAAAAAAGTATTCTTGGGTGAGGATTTAAAAAAAAAAAGACTTTTTGATTGGGTGTGGGGGAAGGGGAGGGTCAAGGGTGATCCCAAGGTTTTAGTTCAAGCTATAGGGTGAAGGGTAGTGCCATTGGTGTTATTTACTGAGCGAGGGAAGATGGCATGGAGGGCAGGGTAGGGAATTAAGAATCCTGTTTTGTACATGTCAGATGCTTATTAGTCACTCAAGTGGCTATCGGGTTAGCAGTTATATATATAGGATTGGTGTGCAGGCTGGAGACGTCAGTTTGGGAGTTGTCAGAGGGGATAATTGAGAACACAGTCCTGGGTCAGCAGGAGAAGATAGGATGGAGTGGCCAGGGGGAAGCACAGGGCACGGTATGTTCACTGGAATAAGAAAGAAGGCAGAGTATACACATGTAGATGAAGTAGGTTGCTGCATTTGTCCAAAGGAGAAGAGATAATTCTCTTTTAATTGTTCCTACTTTTTTTAGTGAAGTCATCAACTGAGAATGAGCAGGGGTGAAAGGGAGGGGTGTTGAAGATCTGGGAAGGTAGGAAAAGCTGTAGAATAGTCATCTTGGAAATGGAGACTGATAGTGAACCAACTAGGGAAATGTTGGTTTCTGGGTCACTAGAGATTTATGGTTAAACATTTATTTATTTTTAATCCTCACCGGAGGACATTTTTCCATTTTTTGTTCAGATAGAGTGGGAGGGAGAGAGAGAAACATCGATGTGAAAGGGACACATCGAGTGGCCGCCACCCGCATGACCAACCAGGGCCGGGGACAAACTGCAACCGAGGTACATGCCCTTAGCGGGAACCGAACCCGGGTCTCTCTGGACCGCAGACCGATACTCTAACTGCTGAGCCAAACCGGCCAGGGCTATGGTTAAACATTTAAAGTGAAGATTTTGTGTGTTCTGTCTAGCCATGTTTAGCTGCTTGGGCACAGGCTAGGAGTAGGTGCTAAATTGGGCTTAACAAGGGCTGAACTTTTGCCAAATGAGTGCAATGGAGGAACATGGGCAAAAGAGATTAAAACATTGGACCATGGAGTCTGAGCTGGTGAGAAGGGAAGTGCCGCTGTGATGTGGAGATGGATAGTGAGGAGGTGGGAGGGTCATTCATATAATCTTTTTGGAGGGCAATTGGGCAAAGTCTGTCAACTTTTAAAATGCACATATCCATTGTCCTAATCTAGATATTTATCCAGATATAGTCCTGTATATATGCAAAATGGATATGTGAGAATGTCCATTATAGCTCTGTGGGCCTATAAAAATTGGGAGCAGGCATTTCCATGTGCACGTGCACACCTTGGCAAGACCATGTTTCTCTTGCTGCAGCCCTGCCCTGGGCAGAAGTTAGAGGAGGCCCACAGTGCTCCATGTGCTCCTGGCAGCTGCAGCACCCTTTCTGGCCTCAACTGGATAAGCTGGAGGGAACCACCATCAGAACTGGTCTCCTCTCCCTTAAGAGAGTTCAGCCCACACTGGGTGTTGTGTGCGTGTGTGTGTGTGTGTATAAAATTTTTTTTTAATCCTCACCCAAGGATATGTTTGGACAGAGGAAGGGGGAGAGAGAGAAAGAAAGAGAAACATCAGCTCTGGCTGGTTTGGCTTAGCAGTTAGAACGTCAGCTTGCAGATCAATGAGTCGTGGGTTTGATTCTGGTCAAGGGCACATACCTCAGCTGCAGTTCATCCCCAGTCCTGGTCAGGTCATGTGGGAAGCAACCAACTGATGTGTCTCTCTCACACTGATGTTTCTTTCTCTCCCTCCCACTCTATCTGATGATGAATAGAAAAATATCCTTGGTGAGGATTAAAAAAAAAACAACAGAGAAACATCAACGTGAGAGAGAGATGTCGATTGGTTGCCTCCCATATGTGCTTGACGGGGGATTGAACTCACAACCTAGGTATGTGCCCTGACTGGGAATTGAACCTGCAACCTTTTGCGGTATGGGATGACGCTCCAACCAGTTGAGGCCTCTGGCTAGGGCAGAATAATACTTTTTATTTTAAAAAATTAAAAAAAAATTTTTAATTTATTGATTGATTTCAGAGAGAGGGGACGGGAGAGGGTGAGAGAGTTAGAAATATCGATGAGAGAGAACATCGATTGGCCGCTTCCTACATGCCCCCCACTGGGGATTAGGCCCACAACTTGGGCATGTGCCCTGACCAGGAATCGAACCTGTGACCTCTTGGTGCATGGGTTAACGCTCAACCACTGAGCCACACTGGCTGGGCCAGCATATATATTTTTAAATCTTTGCTGAACATATTGGTAAAAAATATGTTCTGGCCCTGGTCAGTTAGGATCAGCAATTGGAGCGTTGGCCTGTGGACCGAGGGGTTGTGGGTTCAATTCCCGGTCTAAAGCATGTGTTTGGGTTGCAGGTTCGATTCCTGGCCTTGGTCCGGGTCATGTGGGAGGCGGCCAATAGATGTATCTCTCACATCCATGTTTTTTTTTTCTCTCTCTCTCTCTCCCTTCCACTCAATCTAAAGATCAATAGACTAAATGTCCTCAGGTCAGCATAAAAAAAAAGTTGTTTTGCTCATTCAATAGGTTATGAACATTTTTCAGTTCATTACATAGTCTTTTCATTTACCTATAATAAGTCTTCAGGAGTAAGATTACACTTGGTTGGGGTTACAATTTTTAAATGGTTTGCTTATATAGTGTGTGTAAAATGGTATCACAAGCTCTGACCAGGTAGCTCAGTTGGTTAGAGTGTGATTGTGCTGTGCTATAGTTGCAGATTCTGTCATCGGTCAGGGTACATACACGAATCAACCGACGAGTATTATGCTGTGCGAAATAATCCTGTCAGAGAAAGACAGGTATCACATGATCTCACTTATATGTGGAATCTAATGAACAAAATAAACCAATGAACAAAATAGGCCCAGAGGCATGGAAGTATGGCACAGATGGACAGACCTCATAGGTGGACAGAGAAAAACCAGAGAACTTCTATGCATATATATATAGCCCTTGGACACAGACAGTAGTGTGGTGAAGGCCTGTGGTGGGGTGAAAATTGGGTGGAGGGGAGCAATATGGGAAAAATGAGGGACATCTGTAATACCCTCAACAATAAGGATAAATAAATTTTATTTTTTTTCTATTTTTATTTATTTTTTGGTTAATCCTCACCTGAGGATATTTTTCCATTGATTTTTATTTATTTATTTATTTTTTTATCCTCACCCGAGGATATTTTTCCATTTTTTGTACAGATAGAGTGGGAGGGAGAGAGAGGAAGGGAGAGAGAGAGAGAGAAACATCGATGTGAAGAGACACATCGAGTGGCTGCTACCCGCATGACCAACCAGGGCCGGGGACAAACTGCAACCGAAGTACGTGCCCTTAGCGGGAACCGAACCCGGGTCTCTCCGGACCGCAGGCCGACGCTCTAACCGCTGAGCCAAACCGGCCAGGGCTTTTCCATTGATTTTTAGATAGAGTGGAAGGGAGGGAGCAAGGGGGCGGAGAGAGAGAGAAAGAAA